CCCAGGAGTTGGAGGTTGCTGTGAGCTGTAATGCCATGGCACTCTGCCCAGGGGGACAGCTTGAGGCCCTGTCTCAAAAAAAAAAAAAAAAAAAAAGATATATTTTCAAACAAGTTCATATTTAAAATGATTTAAAAACTAAAAGAGAGGGGTGGCGCCTATGGCTCAAAGGAGTAGGGAGCCAGCCCCATATGCTGGAGGTGGTGGGTTCAAACCCAGCCCTGGCCAAAAACTGCAAAAAAAAAAACTAAAAGAGAAATAAAAGGCTGTATAATACTTAATTCTTTGAAAAAATTGAGGAAGATGAAAACCTGAATTGAATTGAAACTTTAAAACCATTCCTACTTGGGAGTATTTTTCAAAGCTGTAATAAGCTTTGAAACCAGACAGATCTGGGTCCAAACTGTCTTTGCCATTTAGGAGATGTGTCAAACAAGAAGTACTCTTATGGTCAGATGTATGGGAGGTTTCTGGAGATAATTATTTAATTGATCAGTAATCTAACACACAAAATCAAAAAGGGAGAGTGGATAGTACAGAATAATAAAAGACACCCAAGACCTGACTGAATTAAGTAAATGTTAAAGTTCTAGCTTCCCACTGAACATTTAATAAGGCCTAAGGACCTGTGAAATCACGACCATCTTATTTAAAGTGAGGGAAATGAATCAGGTGCATTCTAAGTCTTTGTCAGTATGGACTTTCAAAAATTCAATTACTGTATATATTAAAAACGTGAGACAAGATGATTGAATTACCATGTGGCCAAAAAGGGAAGAAAAAAACCAAAATCACAAAATGGCCACCTTAAAGCAATCACCTTAACCTAGTAAATGACTTGATGTAAAGTAGTCAGAAAGTCTAACAGAACTAAACCTATCCTTGCTCAGGCCTCCAGGACTACATCATTAAAATAGCATTAAAAGTCATTAAAATGACAGTAAAAACAGAGTCCCAAATTACAAGAATGAAAACACTATGAAAACCCCAGTAGAGGACTGATAACCAGTATGAGCACTTCTCAGCCAGGCAACCCCCAGCTGAATACTCATTTCCTGTAACCCCAGTAAAACCCAAACCTCAACAACACAAAAACCATCTTAGGAATTAAAACACAAAGTGGAAAAATTAAATAGAAAAGTTTTCGAATTGAATAGTATGGCTGTCACTCAAAAAACAAAGAATCTGAAGAAGTTAAAACATTCTTAAGAAACCAGACTCACAAAGCCAAATAACGTGGAAAACTTGAGCCACACCTGAAAATTAACCTAGTAAAGAAAGTTCTCTTCGATAACTCTTTTTAAGACTGAAATGAAAAATAATCAGAATATTAAAAAATTAGGGATTGATGCTGAGTTTTATTAGAAAGAAATGCAGCTATATAATACTACATATAGTATATAATGTGTATTTGTGCAATTTTTTAAATAAAGAATAAACCATAAAGTACACAATATAGTTATCTACAGAGGTCAAAAGGAAAGGAGAGGGGGACAGGTACAGAAGTTAGGTTCTCTGAATGTACCACTTTATAGATTTCACTTTGGAAACACAGTTTTTAAAACTACAGAACAAAAAGTTTTAAAGTAAACACTGAAAAGAAAACAAAACAGGCTCAGCACCTGTAGCTCAGCGGCTAGGGCGCCAGCCACCTATACGGGAGGTGGAGGGTTTAAATCCAGCCCAGGCCTGCCAAAACAATAATGACAATTACAACAACAAAACAGCCAGGCATTGTGGCGGGCACCCGTAGTTCCAGCTACTTGGGAGGCTGAGGCAAGAGAATCACTTAAGCCCAAGATTTTGAGGTTGCTGGGAGCTATGATGCCATGGCACTCTACCTAGGGTGACAGCTTGAGACTCTGTCTCAAAAAAAAAAAAAAAAAAACAGAAAACAAAACAATTTAACTGAACCCAGTTAATGGTATAGCCCCCAGAGATAAACTATTTCAAGTAACACTAAAATATAATAATTTGACTACAATAGTTTAAAAGTTGTAATAATAATAGTGTATAAAAGTGTCCACGTATATGTTTCTTTCACTTAATCTTAACAATATGCCTATGAAGTATTATCTCAGTTTCATGGGGAGGGTAAGCATGGCTCTGAAATTTAAATAACTTGTCACAGTTGTCTCCCTCCATGTCTAGCAGTGCAGAAACATAAACCTGGGACTACACACCAAGTCCTTTACTTTGCCTAGTTCTTCATTTCTGTCTCTGCTGACATGCTCCCCAACTTGAGTCCCCTCCCTTCTCACCTCAGCCTCCTGAAATCCTTCTCATCCACCAGCTCCTAGCTCAAATGTCTCTGTGTGGCAAAATAAAAGCAAGGGGCTGTGATGTGATTTGTTTTGTATTCCATTGAGAGCCAAAACACAGGTTGAAAACGATTTCTTCTTTTAACAACCAATTTTCTTTGGGCATTTAAAATTATTGTTTTTGAGCCATAGATTTATAGAACATAATAGAGAACCAAGAGATGAACCCAGCTACTTATCGCCATTTGATCTTCGACAAGTCTATCAAAAATAAAAATATTCAAGGGGAAAGATTCCCTATTTAACAAATGGTGCTGGGTGAACTGGCTGGTGACCTGTAGAAGATTTTTTTTTTTTGAGACGGAGCCTCAAGCTGTCCCCCTGGGTAGAATGCCATGGCATCACGCTCACAGCAACCTCCAACTCCTGGGCTCAAGCGAGTCTCCTGCCTCAGCCTCCCAAGTAGCTGGGACTATAGGCGCCTGCCACAACGCCTGGCCATTTTTTGGTTGCAGCCATCATTGTTGTTTGGCGGGCCTGGGCTGGGGATTCGAACCCGCCACCTTAGGTGTATATGGCTGGCGCCTTAGCGGCTTGAGCCACAGGCGCCGAGCCAGAAGATTGAAACTGGACCCCAACCTTTCACCATTAACAAAAATTGCTTATCACTGGATAAAAGATTTAAACTTAAGACATAAAACTACAAAAATGCTAGAAGAAAGTGTAGGGAAAACACTTGAAGAAATTGGCCTGAAAGAATACTTTATGAGGAGGACCCCCTGGGCAATTGAAGCAACACCAAAAATACATTACTGGGATCAGATCAAACTAAAAAGCTTTTGCAGTCAAGAGCAAAGTAAAGCAAACAGACAACCTTCAAAATGGGGGAAGATTTTTGCAGGTTATGCTTCTGACAGAGGCCTGATAACTAGAATCTACAGAGAACTCAAACTAATCAATAAGAAAGGAATAACCCCATTTCCATGTGGGAAAGAGACTTGAACAGAAACTTCTCTGATGAAGACAGGCACATGGCCTACAAACACATGAAAAAATGTTCATCATCTCTAATAATCAGAGAAAAGCAAATCAAAACCACTTTGAGATATCATCTAACTCCAGTAAGATTAGCCCACAGTGGGTGGCACCTGTGGCTCAGTGAGTAGGGTGCCGGTCCCATAAATGGAGGGTGGCGGGTTCAAACCCAGCCCCGGCCAAACTGCAACAAAAAATAGCTGGGCTTTGTGGCAGGCGCCTGTGGTCCCAGCTGCTCAGGAGGCTGAGGCAGGAGAATCACCTAAGCCCAAGATCTGGAGGTTGCTGTGAGCTATGATGCTATGGCACTCTACCGAGGGCAACAAGATGAAACCCTCTCTAAAAAAAAACCCAAAAATCAAAAAACAAAAAAGAAAAGAAAAGATTAGCCCACATCACAAAATTCCAAAACTACAGATGTTGGCGTGGATGCAGAGAGAAGGGAACACTTCTGGTGGGAATGCAAGCTAATATGACCTTTTTGGAAAGAAGTTAGGAGAACACTCAAGGAACTTAAAAGTAGACCTACAATTCGATCCTGCAATTCCTTTACTAGGTAAATACTCAGATAATCAAAAATCATTTTACAACAAAGACATTTGCACCAGAATGTTTACTGCAGCCCAATTCATAATTGCCAAGACATGGAAACAGCCCAAGTGCCCATCAACCCATGAATGGATTAACAAATTGTGGTATATGCATGCCATGGAATACTATGCACCCATAAAAAGATGGAGACTTCACATCTTTTATGTTTACTGGATGGAGCTGGCACATATTCTTCTTAGTAAAGTATCTCAAGAATGGAAAAAAAAGTATCCAACATACTCAATACTACTAATGAAATCAATATATCACCTACACACTCATACAAATGGCAAAAAATAACTACAGTCCAGAAAGTAGAAGGGAAGAGGAGAGAGAGGGTAGGGGAGGGGGGATGTGGGAAGAAGGAGGGTATTTGGGGTGAACTCACCTAATGTGCATGATGCAATAGTATATTTCAAAACTACTAAGAAATGAGTATAATTGTGATAGATGTGTTACTTAGTTCAACGTAAGCATTCCACATTGTATATGTACCCTGAACCCCATAAATGCATCAATGTACAAAGTTATGATTTAATGAAAAAAATAAATAAAATTATTGTTTTTTAAAATGTGCTGTTCAAGAGCTCTTAGGATAATCAATTAATCATTGCTGGTGTTTTTATTTCTCATAGATAATATGGAAGCGCATAAATCTTTTTAGAGGCCATAAAACCTCAAAAGCAGTAAATGCTATACCTAACACTTAGTGATGAATTACACAGCTACATGAGAAGAGCTTTTCAGCATAACCATACTTGTTTTTGATGGGAGCAAGTACCCACAGGTATGGAAATCACTCCTGCTTCCCAATGTAGAAGTATATGATACATTAAGTTACTTCAAAAACATTCTTTTATAATTTGTGATATACATATTTAAAAATTAAAGTCTAATACCTCAGTGCAAGCAAATACTCTACATTTTAGAGTTATGAAGATACACACCTCTATTCAAACTATCTATTATCTCTTATATTACACCATTAAGATGGAATTCACAAAGGGATAAAATATTTATTTCTCCACATCTAAGTCTACCTGTGAGAAGTACCTGATTAGTATTTTTGATTGGCATATAGTCTTCATCTTCTTTTTCTTCAGAGCAGTGACGGGTTTTCTTCTTGTGTTTTTTACTTGTGTGTGAGTGACTTGATTTTGACTCTTCTGCCTGCTCATCTAGTATAAGATCATATTTTGCACTGCAGTAGTTAGTTAAGGACAAATAACTTTATATAAGACATAACACTGGTAAGACATCAAAACAGAAGAATCTGGTAAACAAAGGAAGTTATAAAAAGAGGATAATGGTTAGTTTTTAAAGCAAAAAGCATCTTGAAAGCATAGAATACATTTAGAAAAAAAACTTAGAAAATGAGACACAACTTTTAACTAGGAAAAAATTAAGATACCATAAACCCCAAAGCCAGAGAAGCTATGTAAGATAATAGGTACATTTGTGAGTCTTCTTTTAGTTCAATCCTATAGTTATCATGTTTACATTTTAATAAGAATTAAAAAAATTAAACTAAGTTAAATGAAAAAAGAAAAACATTTGTAAGATTATTTGTAATACCATAAAGTGGTAATAACAAAATGTCTAGCAATAAAAAAATACTTAAATGCATGATAGTACTTCAACACGTATGATATTATAATGATAGTTATTAACAACAAATGCTATGAGAACTGGAAATGTATTTATGAAAATTAAAAGCAAAAAAAGTGTGAAGCAAAAATTGTACATACCTTATAGCAATTATAACTTTACAAAAGATAAAGTCTTAAAGGAACAAGGAGACGGTTTGGTGCCTCTCAAGCAGCTAAGGCACCAGCCACATATACCAGAGCTGGCAGGTTTGAATCCAGCCCAGGCCTGCCAAACGACAACTACAACCAAAAAATAGCCAGGCCTTGTGGTGGGTGCCTGTAGTCCCAGCTACTTAGGAGGCTGAGGCAAGAGAATCGCTTAAACCCAGGAGTTGGAGGTTGCTGTAAGCTGTGATGCCACAGCTCTCTACCCAGGGCGATTGCTTGAGGCTCTGTCTCAAAAAAAAAAAAAAGCAAGAAGGAGAAATAAAAAGTATCATTTGTTGGCTTAGCACCTGTAGCTCAGCATCTAGGGTGCTGGCCACATACATCATGGGTGGTGGGTTCAAATCCGGCCTGGGCCTGCCAAACAAGAATGACAACTGCAACAACAAAAAATAGCCAGGCGTTGTGGTAGGCACCTGTAGTCCCAGCTACTTGGGAGACTGAGGCAAAAGAATCACTTAAGCCCAAGAATTTGAGGTTGCTCCGAGCTGTGACACCACAGCACTCTACCAAGAGTGACATACTGAGACTCTGTCTCAAAAAAAAAAAAAAGTATTATTTGTCTAAGTGACTGAACCATTCTAAAATTTCACATAAACTATTGCACGTTAGCAGCACTTCCAGCTACTTGACACTGTGGATGAGGAACTTCTGGAAACCAGTAGGCAGCATACACTTTGTTTTCTTGCTGCTCCCATAACCAAAGCTGGGCATTAAGATCTGGCCCTTGAATCTTCTCTAAACTCTGCTGTCAAGCCTCTAGGTTTCCACCAGTTATGCTTAATTTTGACATATCCGTCTGACTGGTGCCAGATAAAGTTCTTGGTCCTCTTTTTGACCATCTTGGGCTTCACAAGGGGTCTGAGGGTGGCTATGATGCTGAGCAGGAGATGGCTGCCACCTCCGTAGGCAGCGCTGACAAAGGAAGAGCTAGAGCAGTGTTTCCAAACTGATGATCATAATTTAGCAATGGAACACAAATCCATTTAGTGGTTCACAACCATAATTTTTTAAAATACAGAATAGAATACATGATGCCTAATAAAAATATTACTTTATAAAAGTTTTGTTTCAATTGTGTGTGTATATATTAATGATTATACTGTGACTATTGCATTAAAATATAAACTATTTCTTAAATTTAGGATCCCAGTTAAAGAAATCAATATCCCACCTCGGCCCTCTTGTCTCCCATACTCAAGTCACAGCTCTACGGTCACTTTTTCTAGTGTTACTTGAGGATATTCCCTAACTCCATGTCCCCCTATTGGAACTCCCACCTCCCACAAATGTACTTCTTTGTAATACTCTAAACATTCTAAATAAATGGTAATTATTTGATGCCTGTTCTTCCCCGCTACTCCAACAACAAAATGTGTAAGGACTGAGTAAACTGGATACGTAACAGATGCTAACTAAGAATTTAATGTGCACGGAAACCCTGGCTTCAGCATCATACAGCATATTTCTGTAACAAAAACATTTGTATCCCCTTAATATCTTCAGATAAACAGGAAAAAGAATATGTTGATCACACGTTATGCCACCCAGACATTTTTTACATCTCCTTCTTCCTTATCCATTCTCTTCTACTTACCATGAAAATCAATACTTTTAGATGTCAAATCCCTCCAAAATCCTTTAAGTAAAATATGAATTTGTAATCTCACTGACCACTTTGCTCCAATTTCATCTCCAAGGTCTAATTAGGCAATGTGAAGGAAACTTCCTTCTCCTACTTTTACTTCTGATCCTTCTTATGAATTATCAATGTTTACAGTAATTTAGTTGGCTTAAAACAACTTACGTGCACATTCAACTATCCTTGCCATAAGTAACAAAGTAACCTATAGTATGAATAAGAAAGAATCTTACATATTATAAAGGACTATTCTGTCTATCCCTCTATTATTCTACCTATATAAATACCTCAGTGAAATGAAATTTATCAGTTGCCAAGAACATAAAGACTACCCTACTGGGTCAGATTCATGAATGTATTCTTTCTTATTCCATATTCTTTTAATTACTTGAGAATGATTAACAGTGGTTTGTACCAAGATATATCTGTCTTCTACATCAACTTCAAAAAACCAGGCACTATACTGTTCAATATGGGCATATGTACTTGATTAATTAAAGCTCAACAAAATTTAAAATTCAGTTTCTCAGTCTATCTTGCAAGCTTCACAGCCCCTGCACAGTGGACATGTGGAGGATTTCTACCACATTTTCATGCTTGCATTCATTCTTTTCAGCCTTAACTACCTCCAAAGGGAAAAAGATGCTTCCCTCAACTTTTTCCTCTACAATTTGCTTTTTATTTTGTTTAGATAGGGTCTTGCGATGTAGCCCAGGCTAGAGCACAATAGGACTAACATAGTTCAATGCAACCTCCTTCTCCCAGAGTTGAGTGAACCTCCTGCTTCAGCCTCCTGGGTAGCTGGGACAACACGTGTATGCCACCAAGCCCAGCTAATTGTTTAGTGTTTTTGGTAAAGACAGAGTCTCCCTATGTTGCCCAGGCTGGTCTCAAACTTCTGGCCTCAAGCAATCCTTCTGCCTCAGCCTCCCACAGTGCTGGGATTACAGGCATGAGACACTATGTCCTGCCTATACTTCCATTTGTCCTACACATTCCCTTCTTCCAGATGCAGTTATCAGCGGTTAGCCTAAATTTAATTTAAAAGATTTGGTAAGAAAATCTCAAGTATATTCCATTCATACCTTTTGTGATTGTGAGCTTTCAATCATGTTCTCCAAAGTTGGTATTTTTGGACCAAATCTCAACTATTGTTTGGTTTGTGTGAATGTGAAAGTCTTTCCTTATGCTGATTTTGTCAGACTTTATCCAGCTCTACGACTAACACTTCACAATGCTTACTGCATTGCAGATAGTCAAAACATCTCAAAACATGAATATACAACAGGTCAACCTGAGAGTCATCTTTCTTTGATGAATACTTGGAAAAGTCCACAGGTATGGAAGGAAAAAACCCTGAGATACCATCAGAAACTAGGAAACAAAGACTCCACTCACCAGAAACAATCACAGAAGAAATCACCTTTGCAATGTGCGGAGTGACAGATTTATAAGGGGAAAAAAATCAGTGAACAAATTAAAATGACATAATAGAATCAGTATATTTCATTGCTTTTTACTTGTCTTAACCTGAATTAAGTGGTCAAGTCAACTCACTTCTTTTTAAAACTTTAAAAGTCAACTCTTGCACTCAGTAGGAGACCAATTACTTGTTTCTGAAAAAATGTACTGAGCAGAAAGAAGTAATCTAACAACAGAGATACCACAGGACTTTGTTATCTCTAGGTAAGTCAAACACAAAACAGTAAGCACAAAGGATTTAGCTTAGCATTAATAACAATTCCTACTCTAAGATCTGCTGAGAATGTATGTTTAAGGTACAAAAAAGTACACTTTAAAAGAGATAATGACAAACTGTTGAAAAGCAGTAATGATTTTTTTTTTTT